ATGATCTACCGGATTTCGTTTACTTAGGCTTAGAGTTTTTTTTGTGGAAATTTTTGCGTGAATTTGGATATTCTCTTTGATTAAGTATAGTCAGTTTGATGCTTGTCTCTATAGGTTATTGGTGGCGCAGAATTATTCATTATCGTCGGTTATTTACTCTGTAAACACCCTCCTATTCCAAGGGGAAGGGGTGGCTTCCAGCAACATCAGCTACAAAGCAGCTACTAAACAAAGCTGGAGAAGTGTGAAAGGTGGTCCTCCGCAATGCCTTCCCACTAAAAGGAAGCAGATATTGAACAAACTTCTTCAGGATATGCATTAATGCTCGTGGTACGACGGCATACAAAAAGAACTTACCGCTGAAGGTTAAAATCCCATCAGAAAATGGACGGGGTAGCACCCAAACCAAAACAACTAAACTTAAGGTACCAAAATAAAGGATGCTACTCCATAATCTGGTGTTTATGGCGTAATAACATTTTGATCTGGCTAGTTTCGGTAGAAATGGTAGATTGCTCTCGATGCCGATGATAATAATTTGAGAGCTCCGCAAAGTTAGGCAGAAATGCATTTCGTTAAAACAAGTGTTCTCACTTACAGTTTTTACCATATTCTATTAACTTACTTGGAAAAAAGCTCGATCTTACTCACGCTCATGGTCAAGTTACTCATTAATTATCGATAGACTTTTTAGACTACCTTGCTTATAGAAGAGATAACAACTCGTTTTTGGATTATTACCAAGTCTTGTTGATTTTGAACCATATTTAAATCAATGTATTCCCTTTTCTTCTACGCCCCTGCAAATACAGCTTCCAGTGACTTATGCCCCGAAACCAGTTCTTTCGCTAAGTAGCACCGTTGACATCACCGCGGGCAGGTCGGGTACCACCGAACAAGGCCGTACCGTATCATTATATTGTACTGTGTGCCGCTGCATTGCACACTGTACGGCGTACCACATGCTTGCATAAATACAGTGTGTTCTTAAAGTTAACTAACACATACATCAAAGTCTTGAGAAGTCGAGACATTATGTTTCTAAAAAATCTGCGATATCAAATGCCGTCCTGCGATTGAGTTTGGGAAAGGTTTTATAGCCTCTCTCGGACAGGAAAGCTTGACAGATGCCTTCTGTCAGTCTTTTCTGTCCAAACTGTGGGATTGTCGAAAATTCGGCACAGTAATTCGCCATGTACACAGAAGTGCAAAACAGCATCTCGTTGTGGTGGATTAGCCATGTAGATAGACACGGCTGATTGTTTATAAATAGGAAGCTAGGCAAATTAAGAAACCCCCGATCTTTGAGCATACAGAAAAATAGGTCTAACTTTTGAATGACTCGGTCGATTTTCATTAAAAAACCGATTTAGTAATATAAAAATCAAGTCCTTTCATCTGATATCTAATTTAGGTATATTCGCCAACTATTGGTTGCTCACTCCCACGTTCACCCCCACCACCGCCGTAACTATTAAACAGATAAATCTATTTTTATCAAATATAGCTAAGAACCATCTCGACCGAGGTTTTCAATTATCCATTTCACTTGCCATTCGGCGGATGGTGCTGATGCTTCGCGAGTGTATCTAGATCATTTTCCTGGACGATTACATCCCGCGTCACGCAGGTCTATTTATCTGGTATAAAGAGCTAAGTACGTAGGCCGCTTCAAGTAACATCGAGCACAGTGAAAGGCCTAGACTGCTCCAAATGTAAATTATGTAATAATATAACACACCTGTGCTTATGAATCGAACTGGGAACACCTATAATAAAATATAGGCAACATTTGACAGGGCAATACTTGAAATTTTATATCGGTTTAAGACAACAGTGATCACATTTTGTATACTTTTCGCTGTTTCACCGTTTCGTAATTTCAAACCTAGAACTTTCGGAACACCCTGTATATCTATGCCCACCAGTCATCGCTAAATGCCTATGTGATTTCGGTCATTACCTCTTATTAAAAACCGCGTATCGACTAATTTTATTACCAGCTCTAATTAGGGAGAGGAGGTTCGTAAAGAAGCCCTGGGACACCTGCCGTACACTAAAATTATTTTAAATTGCACCTTTCATAATTGACGGGGAATTTTCCAGCTGTGAAAAACGATCGGCTTATTTCTATGTGTGATTCGGTTTTCTAAGTCGATTCTCTCAATGACAAATCTCTTTATTTTACGAGCTTCGAGACGCGACGGGGAGCCTCAAGGTAGGACTGTGAGACCCGAGTAGACGCAACGTTCATTATCTATGTATATCGAATGATTCTTACTACAATTACCGTCTGTATATCTAGGCAAATATACACGATGCCACAAACTGGAGTAGAGAAAACTTCTGAGTTTATTAAATTTATTTTTTGCTGAGTAAATGTTAACCACAGATTCCTATTTCTTTTGTGTAATAAAATGTTTTTTTTATATGGAAAGAAATTGTTGAAAATAATGAACGCAACCCTGTGAAAACCATTGTTCATGATTATAAGAAGCGAAAAATGCTTACTGGAAAGTGCATGGAGATCTATTGAAAAATAAAGTCTTTAATCAATTCCGCAAAGAAAGATAATTAAGAAATAATTTTTGATAATTAATATCTACTGAAGCCATTGGATACAAAGAATGTCGGATGTATCCAAAAAGTACCCCAAATAGGAGGTGGAACGTACGTAAAAAGTGCATCTTTACGTTTTTCTAGGCATAAGGACTTTTACTTCGAGAAGGTCTACGAAAAAATTTTCTGTTATTCACCGATTTTCGCTTTCTCCCGAAACTTTTCTAGCTATTGGAAAGAACTCCATTACAGTTTTATTTGACCGGAATATATGTATAAAAGTGGAGTAGTTTGGAAAAATCTGATAAACTGCCTGTAAAGCATCTTTAAAAAACGTATTTGTCACGCACTTTCTACCTCTCATTTTGTATATTAAATGACTTGGGCTAATGTTAGTTATCCTGTAGTTATTTATTGTTTATTTTCAAACTATCAGAATGTCTATGCAGAATTAATTAGACACTTCATTATCTGATGGGTGGTAATTAGTGTACTTAGGGATGGCACGCTAGATTTACTAGCATTTTTCGAGTTTCCACTGCGGATTTTAGACTTTGTCTAATCGTTAAAAAAGTTTTCACTGGTTTGCGTTCTTTTTCCGAGGGAGTAGAGAAATGCAAATTTTTAGCATTGTCCTTTGCTACAATCCGATGAACCTGCTCTCTCATAGCTTGCAAAATTACTCAGCTAAATGTGAATATAGATATTTTGTCATCTTGATATAAAACAGATTGCAAGTATGAAAAGTTAAATTCTACTTGCTTAACCCTATTGTGTATCTTTGAGAAACGATCACCTCTTTGATATTGACAAACGTACAAGCAAAAAATGGCTCCAAGTTGACTCTGTACTTCCCACGCAACGCCCTTATAAGTTCATAAAGGATTATGTTCAGCACAAACTAGCCCCCTGAGAAAAAAGTCAGTCAAACAGGTCCATACATTAAGTCCAGACACATTGTTACATCGCCTTCTCCCGCCAGCAGCAGCCGCGGCCAGTAGGTAAGTGATCTGTCTGCCAAGACTAGTCTTAAGGGCTAATGTACAGAGAAAATCTATGATGTGTCAAATATGTTTAATAGGTGGGTAGAATTACCAATTTTGGGAGTGTATAAATGTACGTGTGTAAGTTTTTCCTTTGCAAGTTTGAGCGATTTTTACTTTTTCCGTTTTAGGCCTTGTTCTCTGCCACCACTGGACCAATATTCAAAAACTACAAAGCTAATGTACTTCTCAAGTTATAGGCGGTCATAGGATTAGCGGACAGACCAACAGACGTACAGACAGACGGAAATGAGTCACATGGTTTTCCGTGATGTAGATATCATATAACATTCAATAAACATAATACACCTATTCTCATTTTAGAAATCTTTTGCGATTATAATACTTCCCCACCAGTAGGCCTGGGAAGTAAAAAATGATATTGTTCCTGTAAGAAAGTCTAATGTTTTTTTTTTCGGTTTTCTAAACCGACTCTCTGAATGGAAATTCCTTTATTATTCAATCGTTGGTATCCGGAAAACCGCGGGACGCCTTAAGTTACGATTATGAGGTGGGTCAACTCATTATCTATATCAAATCAGTGTTAGTGACACTATGGAAACAGGTATATTATACGTATCTAAAGTCTGTAAATAAACGCACATGGATATTTGGCTTGGAGATGTATCATTATTCTACGATTTTACGGGCTATATGGCTTTCATTTAAAAATAATTGAATTGACGATGTTCAGAATTCCTTTAACACATCATACAGACATTTGAAAGCTCCTCATTTAAATATTGGGTAACTTTTTAAGATATTGTTATGTGGTGTTTACATTTTTGTTTAGTGTCGTTTGTTTCACATATGCAAATCTAAATATTCAAGATATTCAATACAAAGGCTTATATCTCTTTAGGTAAAATGTAGCCATCACTATAGAATTTTAGCTAATTGGTGCATTTTTTCGAGTTCATTCTTATAGTAAGGAGTAAGAAGTTTTTTCAAATTCCGAGCTATTACGTCACAAAAATGTATCTCATATCCGTCAATCTGTCGGTTTGTCAGTCTGTTGGCGTTCTTATATCCTCTTAATCTCGGAAATGGTTGAGTTGACTATGATGAAGTTCAGGCTGCTGATTTCTGATGATTTTTGAGCATAATCAAACAATTTTGGATAGGTTAAACCAAACTCAGTTTTAAATTTTGCACTTAAACAAAAAATACAGGAAACTGAAACAGTTGGGCTGACTTTATAAGCTACGTTATCAATGTATTTTTTATCGAAAAATTGAAAAAACCTCAATAGTGTTACTGGAGGTGATATTGCGTATTGACTATTTTCAGTTTGTACGTGTGGGATATTTGGAAACAAACGCCTATAAAATGCGTGGGAAGTGCTGAGTAAATCTACTCGACACAATATTTCATTTCCAAACTGACGTTTTCTTCCAGATGCATTCTTCAGCAGCACATGTTTCGCCACACCGGCAAACCCTTCAAATGCCCATCAGTGGGCTGCATCTACTCAGCTCGCTCAAGCGCCGAGGTCAAAGCCCACTTTTCGACACACCTCGAAGAGAAGAAATTCAAGTGTGACGTGTGCAAGTTCACCACCAAGACGAAGCAACTCCTTCAACGACATTGCAGGGTGCACTCTTCCACGAAACATCATCAGTGTCCCAAATGCAGTTTTGTGGCTTTAACGGCTTCGCATCTCAGGAGACATATCAGGAAGCATACAGGAGCTAAGCCTTTCAAGTGTCCTTATTGCGATTACACTTGCAGCACTTTGGTAAGTTTCAGACGCTAAGACAGAGCCTAAATATCTTGACAATATGAGTTTAGAACAAGAGGTCAATTCTTGAACCATAGTGTTACTCCAGGAAGCTTCTTCGCATCCTCTTGGAAAAATATTCTGTTTTTTTTATGTTGATTCAAAAGAGGCAGACCCCTTTTACAAATGTGCATGTTGTCAGGCCCAAAACTGGGTAAGGACGACCACCAGCTACATCTCTCTCGCAGTCACCCAGAATGTACAGTGCTGGCCAAAGTCATTTTCGCTTTTACTTTTTCATGTGTATAAGAAGGAGAAGCGTTTTAGAAAGAGTGCACGATATAATCACGCTAGGCAACGACAGTGGGGGAGGGGGAGGAGGAGAATCTAAAAGAGAAGACGACCTTTCCCAGCACTGTATACACATTAGGGCTCGCTTGACTAACAATTAAATAACAAAGGTTTTCAATAATACCTAAAAGGCGTTGAGATATCGTGAATAGATGTTTGAAGAGTAGAATTGTAGGCCCTAGCTTATCAACCCGGACGCGAAACAGCGCCTCGGTCACATACTCAACCAATGAGAAGCCGACTTTGAATTAACCGACACTTAATTAGCGGTCATGGTCATAAAAGTCACTAATGAAAAAGAAGCATTTGCACCATATTTAAAGTAAGGACACAAACCTGAAACAATGTGTTGATTGATATTCAGCAATTAAATGAGTATTTTATTGGAAATAACAGTGTGTTGAATGAATGAATGAATCTTGAAATTAGAGGCATTCCGGCCAGTCAGTGCATAGGCCGCTTAAGCGGGCCCTTATGCACCTCTACATTTCTTAGATCACAAGCCTCGCCCTTTTAGCGAAGTTGAGAATCGGCTTGAGTCCAAGCTCCTTGACGTACTGAGGGTCCAAAGTAATGGACCCAAGTATAGGCTGCCTATAGTAATTCTGAGCTTCACAGCGACACAAAACGTGCGCCGAGGTCTCTTCTCTACCCCGCAGCGTTCACACAAGGGAGCCTCAGCCACCCCCATCACGTGCAGGTGGCGCCTTAACGTGTTATGGCCAGACAACAGTCCTACCAGTAACCTTAGGTTGGCTCTATCCAGATATTTGCAGAAATGTCCATCCTTAGCACTGGGCCCTTCAATGAGTTCCCGTGCCTGGCGGAGATGTCTGGAGATACTTCTCCATTTCTGAGAGTGTTGTCTTGCAACCCACGTCTCCATTTTCCTCCTAGCTCTATGCGCGGTCACTCCTAGAGCTGGCTCAGGACCAACGAGCTTGCTGGCTGATCCTGTCTTCACCAGAGTGTCCGCCGTCTCATTGCCCCTTATCCCAGCGTGCCCCGGTACCCACATTAATGATACCGGATGCCTCGCTGCGAGGCATCCAGAGCATCCCTGCATTGCAATACAAGACTCGAAGTAATCTTACAAGCACTTAGTGCTTTCATTGCAGCCTGGCTGTCGGATAAGATTGTTATTCTTCTCCTAGGCCCACCCTCCTCCAGAATGTGAGATACACAAGCCAGAATCGCAAAGATTTCCGCCTGGAAAATAGTGGTGTATCCAATGAGAGGCAGAGATAGCCTAGTTCTAGGCCCAGAGATCCCAGCACCTGAGCCCTCTTCGGTGACCGAGCCGTCCGTGTACCAGACCTGCCCGCTCACTCCGGAGAGTCTCCGGCTACCGGCGTCCCACTCCTCCCTCGTTGGATACTTCACAATAAACTTGCGGTTGAAGCGATATTTAGGGGTAATACGATCACCCTTGCTTAGAAGGATGGGGTCATCCCTTTGCAATTCGACTAAGATGGCAGTATGCCCCTTGACAGGATTCAAGAAAGCCCAGCTGCCCTGACTCCACAGTCGATGAGCGACTACTCTCGCTTCACCGCGGATCACCCGATCCAACGGTGGGAGATCCAACAGAGCTTCCATTGCACTCAATGGCGTTGTTCGCACTGCGCTTGTAATGCTAATACAGGCCAAACGCTGAATTTTATTGAGTTTGGCCTTAGTTGTCTCAGTTCTAATGCAAGGCCACCAGACCAGGGAGCCGTACAAGAAAGATAGACGTACTATCGTCGTGTAGAGCCAGTATGCCACTTTGGGTTTAAACCCCCACCTTACACCGACAACACGTCTACAGGCCCACATTGAATGGCGAGCCTTGCTAACCTTGTATTCAACATGCCCTCTCCAGTTCAGTTTGCAATCCAGGATAATTCCCAGATATTTCACTGATTGGGATAGAATTAATTTGTCCCAAAGAAGGTCGGCATGACCAGCCCGTCAAGCTTTCTTCTCCTAGTGAATAGGATCAGCTCGGTCTTTTCAGCATTAACAGAAAGATCGACTTCCCTGTACCACGATTCCACAGAGCACAAAGCGCCCTGCATAATTTCCGAGACTGTTCTACAAAAACGTCCCCTAACTACTATGCTTAAGTCATCAGCATAGGCTTGCTCGTAGACACCCACACTGCTGAGCCTAACGAGGAGTTCACCACGATGCACCACAGTAGGGGTGACAGGACTCCGCCCTGAGGGCAGCCTCTAGCTACGCTGACGCTGCAGCTTACGTCATTCAGCATAGCTGTTGCTATCCGACCCTCCAGAGTAGATAGGACCCAATCTATTAGGGTTGATCCAACCCCGTGTCTAACCAAGGCAGGTCTGATAGAGTCGGTTGTGGTGCAATTAAAAAAACAGTGTGTTACTCTTGCTGTATAAAATTCTGCGATGGCGTAAATAAAATTACATAATGCTTATTCGTTAACAAACATCGAGTAAATATTCAATTTACTAAACTACCGTGCCAAAAAATCCCGATCCTGAAGCCAGCCCTGCTAACAGGGCAGGGAGCTCTCACTCCCTCTAATGGGCGGTAGGACAACTGCCTCTAGCCTTGCCACCATCACTACGGCGCGGCGTATTCCTGTAATCGTAATATCGTCCAGTAGAGCGCGCGACATCTCCCAACAGTTACAGGGATGGCTTGAAGAACGGGGTTTTTTGTATTGTAGTCAGTTACACTGACTATTTACTCGATGTTTGTTAACCCGTAACCACAGAGGTGACATTCCACTCACACTCTACCAGACGTGACGTCTCTCAGACGGCAATGTTATTTTATCAAAAATTGGCATTGTATATTTTTGAATCACTTTATTCAGAAATTGGTTATTATTCTAAGTCAACTGAGCACAAAATAAAAGTATTCAAATGTATAAATACTAAAACGTTTGTTTGCAGGAAAATAGTTTCTGATTATTGAAGCAACAATTTTGGATTTTGGCACATAATATATTTTGCCTCAAAATATTCCTAACATACTAAAAAACAGTGTTTATTTAATTTGATTTATAAAATATGAATATAACTCATGCAGAAAATCCTAAAGGTAACATAAACAAATTTAGCATAAAAAAAATTGCAAGGCATAGATTTACTTATTTTTTATACAGCACAATCTCTACAATTTTTTCTTGTACATTCCAAACACACTGGCCGTTTGCACATAATACAAAAATAGGCCGTTCTTCTTTTTTTGTTCGAGGGACAAATTCTGCAGGTTTTTCTCACGGCTAATTTCTGCTCTTCACCAACATCAATCTCTTCTTTTGTCTGGAGGATGCGCCCTATGTTTATGCGTACTTCTCGAGAAATACGTGGGTTGCCGAAACCACGTTTCAGCTCCGGCGTTATCAACTGCATTGCCAATTGTTTTATGAAGTTATATCGCGAAATCTCCGTGTTATCTAGAAAAGATGTTTGGAGGATATAGGCATTCACTGATGCAATATCAACCATCCTATAAAATATGGCCATAGGCCAGCGACGAGTCCTCCTGCTACATGAGTAAACGGTACATTTTTCATCGAGTGCGTCAACTCCTCCTTTTGTCAAATTATAGTGGGCTATTATTTCTGGTTTCCCTGTTTCAGGATCCGTAGACTCATTATGGTGCATCGATGAAATCAGCACCACAGCTTTATTCTTTTTTTGAGTATAAGACAGTAACGTCATATCTTTTGTGTAGCCATATATGGATCCGACCTTTCTACTTTGTTGAGGAAGAAATAGGACTGGTATCTCCTTCTTGTTTTTTTTCAGTGTCCCTACGTAGGTCAATGCCTTTGTTTTTAGTAAAGTGACTGCTTCTATTGAGGAGAACCAGTTATCAGCCGTTATATTTCTATTTGTTCCATATAGCGGCTTTGCGAGGCGGATAATTGCTTGGGTTGGTTTGGAAAAAATGTTTTCATCAGATAGTAGAGATCACTGTCTTTACCAGTATACACATAGGCATTGAAAAGATATCCCGTTCTGGCATCAGTTAACGCCATGATTTTTAATCCATATTTGCATGGCTTGTTTGGCATGTACATCTTGAATTTACAGCGCCCTCGGAAGGACACCAACATTTCATCAATACATGCACCAGTACCAATTGTATATACAGATTGGCAATTGTTGATTTGAATATTAAAAATTTCCGAAATCGCAGCTAGTGGATCTGTTTGTTTCGTTCAGCACGGGTTTTCCTATCATCAAACCGAAAACAAGCAAGAATCATTGCAAACCTATTTGAATTTGTTACGCAACGAAAACTGTTCCTACCAGAACCATCTGTGGCAAATATAGATCTAATGTCTTCATTATTGGATTTGAAAATAGAAGTCATCAGAAGAGTTCCTAGGAAGCTTTGCAATTCTATAATATCCATATCGCGAAAATCGCTGGTATCTTTCCTAAATTTTGTACGAAACTGTGCTAAACTTGCGTTTGTCCACTGCAAGATAATTTCTAAAATGTCAGATGAATTTGATACATCCGATTCACGTGTCAATGCCCTCATTATAATTTATATCAATTTCACTTTCACTATCATGCTCGCTCAAAAGCTCAAAATGAAATCGCTGTCAGCCACGTCATCGTCCTCATCAGCAGAATTGCAGGAATCAACCTCCTCAAACCATTTTAAAACAGTTTCCTCGAAATTTG